TACGGGGTCTACCGAGCCCGCCGCCCCGCTTGGCGAGGCTTGGCCACCGGGGGAAGCCCTGGCGCTCTCTGTGCTCACCGCTTTCTTCTTGTCCCTCCTTCCCGAACCCCCAGGTGTGGGTCCCCGGAGAGGAGAGCCCCGTTCCAGAAGGATGGCTTGTCCCGCGGCGGGGAGAGGGGGTGGCAGCTGGTGAGGAACCGGAGAGAGCCCGTCATTTAACAAAGCCGCGCGCACAGCGGCCGGAGCCCCCAGGGAACTCTCCGCGCATCCTCATCCGTCCCGCCGCGGGGCTCCGCACCCCCCTGTAAGTTTCGCTGATTTTCAGCGGAGGCGCCAGCAATTCAACCGGGAAGGGATAGTCTTTCCCGGAGCGGCGCTGGAGGGCGTAGCTGGATACATCTCTCTCTGGAACCCTGTATGGCGCTTCTGCTGTGCGGGAACCAGCTTTTTTCTTTTATAAAATGTCAATTTTATTGAAAAAATAACTTACAGCCTAACCGGTTTGGATCAGTGGATAGAGCATCTGACCTGCGGACTGAAGGGTCCTGGGTTCGATTCCGGTCAAGGGCAGGTACCTTGGTTGCGGGCACATGCCCAGAAGGTGGCGTGCAGGAGGCAGCTGATCGATGGTTGTTTCTCTCATCCATGTTTCTAACTCTCTATCCCTCTCCCTTCCTCTCTGTAAAAAATCAATAAACTGTATTTTTAAAAAAATGAAGACAAGGTTTAGAAAAAGAAAAAATAACTTACATACAAAAATGTACTCATCTAAGGTGTCTGATTAGATGAATTTTAACAAGTGTACTCACCTGTGTAGTCCTCACCGCAGCCCTCTCTCCCATCACTCCCCCAGATTTTCTTGTTTCCCTTGCAGTCAGTCGCCTCTCCTTCATGCCTAATGGGTATTAGGCAAATGCCTGCTTTCTGACACTACAGATTAGCATCGACTCTTCTGGAATTTCATGCATAAATAGAATCATAGGAACTGTTTGCCCTCTTTTGCTGAACAAAACGTGTTTGGGATTTATTTACCCACACTGCTGCTGGTATCAATAGTTTGTTTTTGTTGGGTAGCATTCAATCTGTATATCCAGTCACCTGCTGGTCCGCTGCCAACTTGGCAAGGCTACTGTATCCAGTTACTCAAGCAAACACTAATGTAGATGTGTCTGTAAAGGTGTTTTGTAGACATGCTTAACCTCTGCCATCAGTTGCCTTTACGCAAAGGTTACCCTCAGTAATGTGGGTGGGGGTGATTCAATCAATTTAAGGCTTTGAGGGCAGGACAGATTCCCCTGAAATTCTGTGGACTGCAGCGTCAGGTCCGAGAGACCTCCAGCAGGCCCTGCCTGGAGAACTGCACTGTGGACATCAGACTTGCCTATCCAGCCCTCATAGTTGCCTAAACCAATTCCTTGTAATACATGCCTGACTGATACACCTGCTGATGGATATTTGGGTAGCCCAGGTTTAGGCTATTCTGAATACAAATGCTACGAACATTTGAGAGCAAGTCTTTGCTTGGACATATGTTTTCGTTTTCCTTGGATACGTGCCTAGGAGTGGAATTGCTGGATCATTGGTAAGCATTTACCTGACTATGTAAAACTATAAAACTATTTTCTTGTACATTTTGCATTCCTACCAGCAATGTATAAGAATTCCAGTTGCTCTACAACTCTGCCAGCTCTTGGAATTGTCAGTCTTCCTAGTTGTAGCCATTGTAATGGATGTGTATATTGACATTTCTTCTGGCTTTTATTTTTATTCATTTGATGATGAGTGATGTTGAGCATCTTTTCAAGTGTTTGTTTGTCATTTGTGTATCTTCTTTTGTAAAATACCTGTTCAGATATTTTGTCCATTTTTTAACTTGGGTTATTCTTATTGAGTTGTAGGGGTTCTTTTATATATCTTGGATACCTGTTTTCTGACCAATATATATGTATCCCATAGATTTTTCACTCCTGTCTATAGCTTGTCTTTTCATTGTAAAAAAAATGATATCTTTTAAAGAGCAAAATTTTTTTAAAAAATTATGTTTTTCTTTTATGTCTTGTGCTTTTGATGTTTAAAGAAATCTTTGCTTAACCTAAGGTTGTGAGAGTTTTCTCCTAAGTTTTCTTTTAGAAGCCTTGTGGTTTTAGCTTTTACTTTTACATCAGTAATCCATTTGAAGTTAATTTTTGTGATGGTGTTAGGCGAGGGTCATGGTTATTCCCCCCACCCCCAAGTGGACATCCAGTCCTTCAAGCACCATTTTTGGAAAAAGACCACTCCCTCTTTACTGAATTACCTTGGCACTTTTGTAAAAAATCAACCATATATGTTAGTCTGTTCCTGAACTTTATACTGTTCCAATGATCTGTCTACCCTCATGTCAATACCACACTATCTTGATTACTGTAGCATTATAGTAAATCTTGAAATCAGGTAGTTGAGATCTCCTATTATTCTTTTTAAAAATGTTTTGGCTAGCCCTAGCCGGTTTGGCTTTGTGGATAGAGCGTCAGCCTGTGGACTGAACGGTCCCAGGTTCGATTCCGGTCAAGGGCATGTACCTTGGTTGCAGGCACATCCCCAGTACCGGGTGTGCAGGAGGCGACTGATAGATGTTTCTCTGTCATCGATGTTTCTAATTCTCTATCCCTCTCCCTTCCTCTCTGTAAGAAATCAGAATGACGTCCAGAAGGTCGTTCGGTCTGATTAGATATTATACTTTTATGAGTATAGATATGGTGAACTGCATTTATTGATTTTTGAATGTTAAACCAACCTTGAATTCCTGGGATCAAGCCCACTTTGTCATGATATCCTTGATACATATTTCTGAAAATGATTTGCCTGTATTTTATTAAGGAATTTTGCATATGTGTTCATGAGGGATATTAGTCTAGTTTTTTTTCTTTTAACGTCTTTGTCTATCAGGGTTTTGTTATCAGGGAAATGTTTGTTTCATAAAATGTTTGGGAAAGTGTTTCCTCCTCTGTTATTTTCTGATTTTTGTGCAATTTCAGGTGCTCTGACTGCAAGAGCAGGGACGTCTCCTTGGTGCAGGGCACGCTGCCCTCATCTCCTTACTGTCCCATAGGACTTGCTCTGCTCTATCCTGGAACCTGGGAATCATACTAGAATCCTCTTCCCTTCACTCTCCACATCCAATTGGTCACAAAGTCCTGTTGACACCTTCTCCCCCAATATGTCCCATCTCCCCACAGCCCTTGTCTTGGTTCAAATCCTTATTACCCACTGGCTGATGGGTTAAACAAAGATTGGTCACTAGCCCGGCCAGCGTGGCTCAGTGGTTGAGCATCGACCTATGAACCAGGAGGTCAGGGTTCAATCCCCAGTCAGGGCACATGCTCAGGTTGTGGGCTCCACCCGTGTGGGGTGTGCAGGAGGGAGCTGATCAATGATTCTCTCTCATCATTGATGTTTCTCTCTCTCCCTCCCTCCCTCCTCTCTGAAATCAATAATAATAATAAAAATATATAAAAAGATTGGTCACTAGACTGCTTCGCAAAGTGCCCTTGGTGGAAATTTCTGGCTTTTAGGAAATCGCAACTCTTGTACCCCACCCCTCAGTCAGCGCTATTTCTGCGCCTCCTTGAAAGGCACCTCGTTTCACGCCGGGCTTCTGCCCTTCCTGGCCTCTGCCCACGGGCTAGTCTGGCGGGACTCAGCTGGGGGCCCCTCTTTCGCACCCGCAGAGCCCGATGAGCCGCTCCATGACCATCCCCGCTGGCCGGCCGGTCCACTCCAGTGGTTCTTCCCGGTCAGGGGCAAGTCCGGGGACAGCGCCCCAGGGAGCACCGCCACGGGTCCTGGGTGAGGCCACGGTGCGGTGCGGTGCGTGTGAAGGCGAACCTCTACCGCACAGGTTCGTGCGGTCCGACCCCGCAGGAGCCCAGGTCGGGTTTTCCCAAGAGCGCAGCCCTCCAGCTGTCAACCTTGCCCCGCATCCCCGGCTGCCCCCCCGCACCTCCCCCGCCCAAGCAGC